TTCAACCTGTCGTATAACTTACTGGCCTGCAGAAGATAAGGAGAAAAAAACCCCACAGATTTTAAGACAGGATTTTTTTTTTATATAGAAATTTTCACATTTTTCAGACAATATGGTCTGATAAAGAGTACATTTATATACATGTTTAAGCCAGAATGATTTGACATTTAAATGTGATTTTCCTACGACTTTAAACAGAAGCAGACCGTTCCTATCATTTGCTGGTATCTAATAGTTCTATGCAGGCTGTTATAATCAGATATTCAGTTAGATAGATAGTTTTTTGCTGTTATCGGACCAATTTCTGATATCAAATATTGGATCAGGTAGGGTTGTCAAAAGTATCGATACTGAAACGTTGTATCCGGATACAATACTAATTTTCAAAAGTATCGATACAGCCATCTAAAGTGCAGAATAGTGGAAAATGCACTTTCTGAACACTGTGTGATTGAATAATTCTGTGCATTTTTAAGTTTCAGACTTTTTTTTGTAACAGGTGCAGCTGCTGAGAATTATTTTTGTTTTACTGGTTTGGCTAGTGTCATTATTATGTCTGCAAAACATTGCCAACGAACGAACACTTAATTTTAATTTTGTAAGTTTTTTATCAAGCTCGCTTAATATTGTGCACAGCAAACAACCTCAAAATATTATTCTTATTGTTTTTTTTATTTATTTCTTGTATTTTTTTAGTAATGAAAATATTTTTGTTGAATTTTAGAGTCTTTGTTTTTATTGTTGTGGTATCGAAAAGGGTATCGAGTATCGAACATTTTACTTAGTAAAGTTTAGTATCGTGACAACCCTAGGATCAGGATATTCCTACTCTGCAGCAACGTTATCCGGCAGTATTTGTTAGCTCAATCCCTAACTTTTAAGACGATGTGTTTTGAAATGGACCAACAGAAATAAAATCACTTGGTTTACACCAAATAAAACTGTTCATTTTTGTTGAGACATTTTCCTCTATTGGAAACATGCAGAAAGGCCTTGGCCAACATCAGCCTGAAACCAGCACTTCATGCAAGTCATATTCATTATTAATTCATTATAAAAACGCCCCACCCTAAACGTAATGTAGCTCCATGGTGGAGTTACTTAGAAATATAGTCTAAAGGTGGCCGACACACTAGGAATCAAAAAAGACATAAGCAAAATTTTTTTCTTTTTTTTATTGAAAGTCTGTATATATTACCTATTATTTAATCAGCTGTGACGCATCAGTTGATAATGCTCATTACATGTGTCCTTTGAAGCTAAAACGAAGTAAATTAAAAGCATGATGGACAGATCATATTCACTGACAAAATTCTATTATTATGCTATTGTACATAACTGTAAAAACCTTTTTTTTAATAGTAATATCCACCTGTATAATATATTCGGTACATATCCAGCTGTAAATTTAGTTCATAACACTAGTGATATATATATTATATTCATTATTTATAATAGTATTCATCTCTATACTCATTCAGTAGAAAGATCCACGTCCTGTACTTATGGAGCCATTATTTATCCTGCACTGCTGCTATTGCATTTCTGGTTAGACCTAAACTGCATTTCGTTGCCTTGTACCTGTACCTGTGTAATGACGATAAAGTTGAATCTAATCTAATTTACTTTTTAAATACAAAACAAAGTTGATTTTTGGGGGGTGTTTCACGCCTTTTGCATCATTATTGCTCTCAGTAGGTCAGTTTTTAGCCGATATCATGATAGAATCTCTATACTTGTTAATGATTAGTCCATTAATATATAATATATATACTCCAATAACCAGTTAATCATGAAAGATTTAGATCTAATAGTTAATTCACTCTAAATTGATAAAGACTGAATGTAACTTATTTAGCAATTTATTTTTTGATATATGCTTTGGATTACTTAATATGACATTGGATTATGTTATAGTGCATTTTATCATTTAATTG